TTATTTTTAATGTTAATAAGAAGTGGCAAAAAAGTAATTACAGAATAACTTTAATTGAAAATTTCAGTACAGAAAGATGACACAATCAAAGAAACGAGTCAAGGTAGAAAAATTTATTAAAAAATTGATTTCCTCGAACTGGACTCGACCCAGCGATCTATTGGTTTATAGGCGGACGCTCTACCAACTGAGCTACAGAGGTATGAAAAAACAGCAATTGTTTATTCTGTAATCCACATGATTACTATAGGTATTGTTTAGTTGAGATGCTACATACTTTATAGATAAATATAAAAAAATTATATATTGTATTTATGGTTGGTTAAAATATACATTTTCAAGTTTTAAATTAGGGTTTTCAAAACGTTTGACTAATCTTTGGCACGTGTATGTTAAAATTTATTCATATGTTTAAAAAATTTAGATTTTCAATAAGAGTACTATACGATTTTTCATTAACAGCCTAAAAGAAATGTAGAAATTAATTTTAAATTTTTGCTTTTTTTGAAAATATCATTACATTTTGATTGATATTATAACAAAATCAGGACAAAATATTTAATTCCCAAATTTTTATTTTTCGATTTAATAAGATTCATATTTCAGAAAAGATGATGTCACTGAATCGCTCAGTATGTCAAAGTTGTGCATTGAATAGTCTGTTATCAAATTGCAAATATAAGTCGTTCTTATAATCATAATTATTTTACGATTATTATTAGTTAGATTAACAAAAAATATGGAAGAGTAATTTGAAGCGAAATTTTTTTATTATTTAGCGTTAAAATATTCTAATATAAGGAACAGTAGGATAAAATATTTTATATGATTTATATGTTCAATTTGAAGAATAGAATCGGGCTATTATTTCCAAAATTTAGATTTGATTTAAAAAAACTTGATATTTGTTATTTATTGTTAATTTGTAAAATATTCTCTATGTATGTTTCAAATACTCTTGGCAGAACTCTTTATGGTTATATATATTAATATAAAATTTTTTTTGGTATCAAGTTTCACTTAAAATTTTGCTGTTTTATTATCAATTTGAACGCAATTACATTGTTGCCACTATAATACATAATATCCTTCTTCATATTATTATTTTATTACTATTTCATGGTACTTAATGCATCAAATTTTATTTTTATATAATAATATATTTATATTTGCTATCATTATTAAGTAAAGGTCCTTTTTAAAGTCCATATATTTATGTACTCTTCTTTTATATTTATTATTTTTTGTTTTTTTTTTTTCTTATATATCATCTTTTATTATGCATGTTTAGAGAGTACATGAAGGGGGATAAAAAGGAAGTAAAACAAACGTTACCAAATTTGATTTGATACGACATCATAAGTGCGCTCATTCATAAAAATCTCACAAAAAAAAAAATAAATAAGAAAAAAAAAATATAAAAATAAATGTACAAAAATAGCAGTTAGTTTTCTTCTTTTCTTCTTCAGCTCATCACCATTTATTTTGTCAGGGAATGATATTTTTTTTATTACAGAATTTTCTACATACATATTATATAATTATATTATAGTAAGCAAAACAGGATATGGAAAATAAAATATACTAACTTTTATCCTTCAACAACCTACATATAAAAAATATTTTCATTCTTCTCTTTAAGTATGTTTTGAATGTACAAACTTATATAAGAACTTAAATCAGATACATATAAAATAGATATGGTAGAGAATGTGAATAAATTCGGAATAAGGATATGAGATTTCTTATGAAGTTCCGTTATTTCTCTTCTCATCCATCTCCATATAAAATTAATTTTTCTTTTATTTTTCTTATGAATCATCCATCCATCCTCAAGGATATGGTGTATGATCAAAAGAAATGAAAGTTTTTCTTTATTTTTATTTTATTTTTTCTTTTTCTGTATTGTGTAGGAAAAAAAAAAGAATTAGGAAGAAAATGTGGAGTACGATTGGCGATTGGTGTAGGTATATTTAGGGTAAGAATTTTAGTTGGATTTATATAGTTAAAAATATATAAGGTTTGAAAGGAAGCAAATCATAAAAATTGTGTTGTATGCTCTTCTTATATAAATGTCTATGTAGTTACAATGAATAATCGGACTTTTTCTTAGATTTTTAGTTATTGTATTTGATTTATATGTATACATATATATATATATATATATAGATATTCAAGTAAATTTATGTCAACTTATGTGTCCATACATATCTACATAATATATTAAATATTAGAAATTTGATATTTATTTTAATATTATTCGAGTTTTATATTGATTTTATGTCCATATTTGTGTATACATATTATTTAATATATATACAAATTTTTATATATAGAGTACAATTTATAGTACATATAATAGATCATTTAGAGCGGAGTATAAAAAGAAAGAAAAATCAAAGAATATTTAGTCAAGTAATAAAACTCAAAAAAATGAAAAAACGAACAAAAATAAGGCTAAAATTTTACTCTTGCTTTTCTTTTTTTTTTCTTTCTTCAACAATAAGATATTATCCTTTTTTTTTTACTATAATACGGTTTCGTATATATGAACATGCTTCCACACATATCTATAATATGTGTTTTATAATATGTAGTAAGCATACAGTAATTTTTTGTTCATATTTTTAATTGAAATGTTCATATTTATGATATGGGTAAAATTCTATAAAAGGATAAACTCCCTCCAATATATACGATGCGGTAAAAACACGGTATATACTTCTATGAAGGCATACATGATATGAAATATATGCTTGCAAGAAGTTTTCAAATAAGATGGATAGGGGTTGTATTAATTTTTTTTTTTGTTATAATATAAAAATATCATGTCTATTATTATTATTGACGAGACCATAATGTTATATTTTTTTTTGTTATTATAAAAATATTTTGTTTTATTGTTATGCTTTTTTTTTTATTAGAATGATTTAAAAACAAATATAATATATAATTTAAGGGGGATGAATCGCCGCTACAATTCGAATAAGTTTTGAACTGTCTATTTTTTTGTTTCTTCTATTTTTTCATTTTAATTCTATTATTATATAATAGAAATTGAAAAATTAATATATTTTATTGAAATTGATTGGTTGTTATGTATTTTGTTATAAAAATTAATATTTTTTTCAATATTGTGCTCATAGACAAAGCCACATGTGTACGGTATTCCACAGAAGAGAGAAGAGTGTTGTTGTCAATTTATTTTAAGATTAATATGTAATTACAAAACTAAATTAAATTAAAAATAATAATAATTAATTAAAAATTTGATTTTTGTAATTTTTCAACAAGGAATTTGATCAAAAATTTCGTTTTGAATTTTTTAATCTTAATTTTTTTGGTAAAGTGAGAATTTGGGTTTTATGAATTCCGCGTTGTTTTTTTGTGGTTAATATTTTAATAAAAAATTATTAAGTTTCTTTTGAGAAGTACGGAATAGTTTACGGAATTGTTATAAAAATTAATATTTATTGAAATTCTGTTTGTACTTATTTGCTTCTTGTCAATATTTGGAGCTTCAATCAAAATTAGAATCAGTGTTGAACAGAATATCCGACAGATTTCCAATAAATAAGGTCTCTCTATTATCTTTGAGTATAGATCTAAATATTCTGTTACATTCTTATATAACTTTTATATTCACATAATTTTCTTTACGCAGATTAAAAAGTGAATTTACTTAAGGAAATTAAATAATTTAATTTAGTATTTTGTAAAAATTTTAATTATTTATTTTTTCTTTTTGAATTTTTTGATCAATATTCCCATATTTTTTTTTTGCGGTTTTTGTTTCTAATATATTATTTACGTATATATATAAAATTTACTTCTGCTAGAGTAGAAGATTTAACTATCAGCATATTTGACTGTGATAATGTAATTTTGCTTTATTGAGCTGGAATTCTTGTATCAAAATCATGCTGATTAAAAATGTAAAAGATTGTTTTGAAATATTGTAGTTTTTCCGCCTCCGAGGTTTATTACACTGTTTTCGAACAATCACGATTTTGATTTCAATTTTGTCAGAAAAAAAAAATATATTGAATAAAAAATATATAGAAAATTTTTTTTTAAAATCAAGAAAATTTGTAATAGCTGCTGGTACTGTAAAACGTTGATGCGACATCCAAAGTATTCATGAATAGATCATATATAAATTAGCGCATCTAAATCCAATGTTTCTTTATTAAATTTAATTTATTCTAAAGTAAAATTTCTTATGGATATACTTTTGTATTTTTGTGAATTTTACTGCAATTTTGTTAATGTGAAATTTTTACATAAAAATTCTTAAAAATTTTATGTTGTTGAATTCTTCAGTTAAAATAAATATTATTAAAATAATTTTTGCTTTATTTATATTTAGAAAATATATAATTTAATTTATTTAATTAATATCAGCATTCTATTTACAAGAAAAAAATATTAAATTTCCAGAATAATTTAAACAAAAAAATAATTATAAATTTAATTGTAATGAAATAAAATTCGAGTAATAGGAACAATTCCAATTGGACAATATTCGGAATAATGAAGTTAATATTGATAAAAATTCCGAAAAATATTAAAAACCTCACCGGAATAATTTTGGACAATTTATTTGTAATATTATATCGTAACATTAAATAAAAAATATTTTTTTAAGCATTTTTGGTTAAATCATGCTTTTTTAATTTAAAAACTAAAAATTTACAACATTAATCTATTAATACTTTAACAAATTTATTAAAATCATATAACAATAATTTTAGTAATTTTAGTAAGACATTTGTTATCGCAATTAATTGAATGAAATTATTTCGAACAATAAGGCATTAAATTTATGTTAGTATTTATTTATTTAGTTTAAATAATAAAAATTTAATTTATGATTAAAAAGGAAGCAAAGAATTGGAGTAGGTAATGCATATTTTAATTATTATTAGAATATTTATAGAGAATAAAAATATGTTCCAAAATATATTTATTATAAAACCAGCAAAAAACACCAAACTTACCTTATGTAATAGAACAGATGCTTTTCGTTTTGCAGCCATATTTTTTATAATTGGTAATTGATTATTTAAATTTTAGGAAATTACTTTAGAAATTAGTAATTATCAAATATTTTTAATTTGATTTCAGTTTATTTAGTTTTTTTATTTTAAGAAAACTTTACTCTGTGTATAGTTTTTATAATTTTAGTATATTTTACTTATATTAATTAATTTATTATTAAATAAACTGTTTAATTATTTTATGTTTAAGAACTTTTGGATTCTTTCATTTATTTTAATTATTTTATTTAAAATTTTATAAAGTTATAAGTTCACTTTTTACTTCACTTTTGTTTTCTCATGAACTTTACACTTTATATAATTAAATATTACAAATATGTGAATGTAAAATTACCTATTTTTTTAGTACTTTGTTTTTTTTTTTTACAACTTTTACACTTTGAAAATATTGTTGCACTTTTCTCTAATTCACTTTCTTAGTATTATATAGGTGTACATATATATATATACAGTTTTTTTAATTTTTTTATTTTTATTTGTTGTTTTATTTAATTCTCGAATTATTATAATTTTTCACTTTCTCTGATATAAAGAGACAAGAATAAAAAATAACTATCACAATGAAGCTAACAGAGCTCAAAAAAAAAAAAAACAAAATGTATTCAAAAATATGTTAAGAAAAATAAAATTATAAGAAGATGAAAATGCCGTTATATGTTTGATATTATTTTATGATTTTATATACCGTTAAATATAAACAATATTTTTTTTGTTGTTTTTCTTGTTGCTTATATTTTAGATTTCTTTCTACACCGTTATCATTTAAATTTTTTTTTATTTTACATATATATATATATATATATAAGTGTGTATTTATAATTTTACAGTAAGAATTTTTTTTTCAATGACCTTGAAGTTGTTTATATTTTTTTTTTTCTGTTATGTTTTTCTTTTTTATTTTTTTAATGTTTTATTATTTTTTTATATTATTGTTATTTTTATTATTACTACTGTTTTTCTTTTCTGTATTTTTTTATATTCTTGTCGTCGTTAATCTTTTTTCATCAGTTGTTTTTTTGTTTATTTTTTTTTAATATTACTTTTTTTTATTATTTTTTATATTTATATTATTAATATTATTATTTTAATTTTTATATTTGTTTTTTGTATTCTAGAGTTTTTTTTTCAAATATAACTTTTTCTTTTCAACTGTTACTCGGAAATATTACTGTTATTTTTATTATTCTTATTATTATTTATTGTTGTATGATTATATTATTCTTATTAGAATTCCTTTTTGATTATAGCGATAAAATAATTTAGTGTTGTATGCTTGTTGTTATTTTATAAATGAAATGGTTTGAGTTTTATTCAATCAATTGAAATATTTGCAATTACAAATTTTTTTTTGGAAATTATGTTTTTTTAATTTTTAAAAACACTTTTATAAAATCTTAGAGTTCTAATAAGCAATGGTTCAAAATTTTCTTTCATATGATTTCTTATAGATTTATTTAATTTTTTTTTAATATTCCGGTTAAATTATTATTAATAATGTTGTTAATATATTCCTATTAGTGCAACTCAAATGTTGTAAATAATTGATTGTAGTATGAAAGTTGCACTTCCGACTATTTATTAAATTTTTTTAATAAACACCAGTAACTTAAAAGTTTTAAAGGTTTTAATTCAAAAATTTTAGTTTAATAATTTTTTTCCCTTGTTAAAATTTTTTTTATTTTAGATGGTGATTTTATTAAATAAAATATCCAAATAATTGTTAATTATGATTTTTGTAAATATTTTGTTGTTTTGATTGTGTAGTTAATCTCCTCTTTAAAATTTGTTTTACTCTCCTTTATAATAATTATTTATTTTTCTCTCTCTCTCTCTCTCACTCTGTAATTAAGAAATAGATTGTTTTTTTATTCAATATGGACCAAATAGTATCCAAAGTAAATTTTCATCCGTATTGAATGAAGAACAACTGATGACTGAATTGAAATAGAAACGTGTCATGGGTTTATAAAAAATTATTATGAAATCCTGTAGGGATAATGTACACATAATATATAGAGATAATAATAAAAAAAAGTAAAAAGTAAAGAAAGGCAGAAAGAAAAAGAAGAAGAAAAAAAAGAAGGCATAAAATCAAAAAGAGAGAAAAAAAAACAACAATTTTGTACAATATTGCGATAAAAGGAATATGTGAGCAAACAAAACATGAAATGACAAAACTAATACAATGTAGTATGTAGTAGAAATGTAATAATAAAACGAAATTTATGAAAACGAATTGAATATGAGAGTGTGTGTTTGTTTGTATATGAGAATAACAAATATAATAACAGAAAAGAATTAATTCTCAAAAAAATTTTTTATTTTTTGAATGTGTTAGTATTTTAACATACCAATTGAGTTCTCTATTTACGTTTGCTATGTGTTGGCATTACAAATTATAACGAATTTAGATAGGAAAGGAAAATATAAAGTAAGAATAATAGAAATAATATTAAATAGGTACATATAGCTACTATATACTCGTATAAGCTAATACATTTAAATATTAAAATTATTTTATTTATTAACAATATTGGAATTTAAGAATTCTCTTTGAATGAAAATCTACAATTTAAGGAAATGTTTTTGTCTCAAAAATTATAAGAAAAATCTTGTTCTTCTTCAAAATACACGCACATTTTTCGAACATTGTGACTTATATTCAAGTCTATGCCTAAAAAAAGGATAATAATAAAAAGGATAAATATGAATATAAAATAAATAACCGATAAAAATATTTAAAATGTGATTAAAAAGAATATTAAGGATAATAAAAAGAGAGAAAAAAAAATAAAAATGTGTGCATGTCTTTTTTTCTTTTTTTTGTTATAAAAATTTTCAGTTACAATGTGTTTGTTAGCTATAATATAAAAATTCATGAAGCTGTATTAGTGTCATTCTCAAAATTTTTACTTAGCAACTTTTATTTTTGCTTTTCTTTTTGTTTGTCTCACAGGAAAATATAGGTTTTATTTTAAATGTAGTTTACCACAAAAAAAGGCAACAAAAAAATAAAAAAAAAATTTTATTTATTTTTTTGTTTTTCTTTTTAATCTGCCTATGTATTAGTTTTGTTTTTCTTCAAGTTTTCTTTAGGGATTTTATTCTTTCCACACTCTATATAGAAATATCATGTAGGCATATATGGCTGTGTTATATTCTATAATTTTCAATCTTAATAAGGTGCGGTATGTGTGTGTATAAGTATATATTGATTCTATAATTCAAGTTTTCTAAAACATTGAATGTTGTAAGCATCTCCGACCATAATATGTTTGTACAAAATATGTGTATTTCTACACGTAATACAAATACATACATCATAATGCATACACACATAAAATTATATTAAAGAATTTTTGGAAAACAAAAATTTAAAGAAATTTTAAGGGTATGAAGAAGTAAAACGAAAAGTAGTAGTTAAATAATATAATATTAGGTTGATGATGATGATGATATAATGATATTGATGATGATGATGAAATTGATGATAATGATAATCATTAAATAAGAAATTGTAATTTTTCTTTCCGATGTTAATAAGTATGAGTATGAGTAGGTGATTGTGGCGGCGGGTGGCTTTTAAAAAGGAATAAAAAAAATTTTTGTGTTTTTTTTTGTTTTTATAAAATTACATATAGAGTGAGAATGAAAAGAAAAATAATAGAAGAAGGATAATAATAATAGCAATAACAATAATAAAATGATGTACATATATATGAGATATAAAAATAATATTGTAGTAGATAAAAGAAAAATATAGAGAGAAAGATGCATAATAGGAAGAGAGACATAATGGGAAAAGCATAGAGAAAAGGAGCAAGACTTCTCTTTTTACACAAAATATTGAGAGGTACAACGTAATATAGGAAAAATGTGAAAAATTTATTATAAATATGTATGGAATGATGTGAATCGAAAATGTGTATGAGTACAAATGTATAAAAGTTTAAGTTTTCTTATAATAATTACATACTAAAATATATATATATATATATATATATATATATATATTCATATAATATTTATATGTAGATAAACATAGACACAATAATATGGGCTAGAGAAATTCGATTTGTTTTTTTTTTTCCTCTTTTTATTATTATTGTTTTTTTTTTGGTAAGGTTATGTTTAAATTGAAAATTCTACAATGTGTTTATTTTTTTGTTAAGTGGGAGTGTATTAGTATAACATCTATTGAACAATCTATTATATGTATGTATACATATACATACAGTATACTAAATAGATATATTTATTAATATGTAGAGAATTTATATTTGAAATTCTAATATAATGCAAGTATAGAGGGACTAATTTATATACATTCATTTTTGTATATTATCTAGAATATTACGAGTATAATGATTATATAAATATGAAATAATGTAGATACATATATGTACACGCATTGAGTATTGATGATTGATAGTATACCAGTATATAAGCATGGCTTTTACCAATATAATATTGTTTATATTGTTAGAAAAAGAAATTAATATTTTGGTAATGGTTGTATAACCATATTATAATATGTAGGTTCTTAATTTTTATACCCGTACGAACGTATGTTCGAAGGGTATACTAAATTTGCCTTACCGTTTGTAACGTTAAGAAATAACGGCGTTAGATATAGACTCAAGTGTATGTTTTTGATCAGCGTCAAATTCTGAGTTGATTTAGCTTTGTCTGTCCGTCTGTCCGTCCGTCCGTCCGTCCGTCCGTCCGTCCGTCCGTCCCAACGATAACTCAAAAACTAATTGAGCTAAGTTCACCAAATTTTCACAAATAATTTATTGTAGTAAGTGCCAGAACCCTATTTAAATTGGACATGATCGGGGTACCGGTTCGGGTAGCTGCCATACAACTTCAAAATTTATTTGGCTATATCTCAGAAACTATAAAAGTTGTGGTATTGAAATTTCACACAAACGAATATATTAGTAGGGCCAATGTGTCTCATAAAAGTCGTTGAAATTACTTGGCTCCTTCTGGTACCTGCCATACAACTTCAAAAGTTATTTGGCTATATCTCAGAAACTATAAAAGCTGTGATATTGAGATTTCACACAAACGAATATATTAGTAGGGCCGATGTGTCTCATAAAAGTCGTTGAAATTACTTGGCTCCTTCTGGTACCT